ACTATATATATATATATGATTTTATAAAATCATTTTTTTTTCATATATATGTTATTAAATATGTGGTATGTTTTATAATTTATTAATCGACCCTTTTTTATGCCAAATTTTTTTAAATCTAAAATGAAAATATAAATTTTACAAAAATTAATTTAAAAATCCATTTGTATAAAAGGATTTAAATTTTTTTTCAGAAATTTTATAAATATTTTTTATTCATTCAGTTTTTATATTGATCTCTTATAAATTGTATTTGTTCTCTTATTTAATTGAAAAAAAAAATTTTAAAGAACAAATCCAATCATTTGTTAAATTATTATTCAATTAATTCATTAAAATTTAATGTATTTTTTTTTCAATTCTTCTGCATTTTCAAATAAAAATGGTATTTTTATAAAATTTTTTTCTGTAATCAAAAATTTTTTTTAATTTTATTTTTTATTAACGATGTTGAAAATTTTAAATTTTTATATTTTTTTACTTCAAAAATAAAAAAAAATTTTGAAAAAAGAAGTGATTTTATATTTTGAATTTCCAATACATTTCAATATCTTCCATATTTTTCATTTCGCCTCTCTCTTATTTTTTTCTTTAAAATGTAAATATTATATTTAAAATCTATTTTTTCAAAAAAAATAAATTCGCTTTTGAAAGAAATCATATGTTTCAAAAATGCCTAAATTTTAAAAATTCAACATAATTAAGTTTTTAAATTGATGTTACCATTTTAAATTTTTTAGAAATTTTTCATTTAAATAAATTTTATTATTTTTTTCTTTATTTTTTTAAATAGTTAAATTTCATCCATTGGATTATTAAAATTTTCAATGAATTTGAAAAAATTTTTTTATTCAAAATTTTTTTTTATTTATTCATTTAAAAATATAATGTAAACAAATGAAAATTTATATTAATGAAAAATAAAAATAAATTTAAAATTGATCTTAAAAAAATTTAATTTTTTTTAATTTATATTTGTTTGAAAAATTCTAAAGTTTGTATTTATATTGATATATTATAATATATATAATATATATATATATTATAAATCATATATAAAAATATTTAAATTTAAAATGATTTTTTTTTTCAAAATTTTCAAAATTTTTAGTTGTCATTAAACCATTTAAAATTCAGGTCATAAAATGTTGTTTTTATTCGATATTAATATTTATGGTTCAACATGCATTATGTCATATTTCTATTTAAGCTTTTTTTTGTTTTTTGAAAAAAAAATTGTTTTATTTATTTGAATTATTTTTTTTATAATTTATTTTGATTTTTTTAATTTTCCTTTCATTTTTTTTATTTTTTTTTTTGTTTTTATTTTCATATTTAAAAAATTTTTGAATTTTTTCTATAAATTTTTATTTATATACAAATAATTAAAAAATTTTTTTATTGAAATAATTAATATTTGTATATATTATATCAAATAAGACTGATAAATATTTTATAAAAAAGTTGAATTTTTTAAAATTTAATAATGAATGACGACAATTTTAATTAAAAATTATTTGGAAATTTTATTTTTCATAAATTTTTATTTTCTTTAGTTTTTTTTTTAAATAGTTAGAAAATAAAGTGGTTTATTTTTTTTTTAAATAATATTTTTTAAATTTTTTTATTTTTTTTTAATTTTTTTTTTGTTTTTTTTATTTATTTTTTTATTTAATTGATTTAAATAATTTTTGTTTGAATTAAAAAAAAAATTAAAAAAAATTATTAAATAAATATATTAAAAATTTATTTTTGTTAACAATTTTGGATTGGTTGTAATAAATATTTTTAAGACTGTTTATTTTTTTTTGATTTTTGAATTATTTTAAAATTGATTTCATTTTTTTTTTATTTTTATTTTTTTTTTCATTTTATTTCTTTTTTTTTTTCAATTTTATTTTTTTTGCTTTTTCTATTTTAAGTTTATTCTATATTATTATTCCATTTTTTATTTATTTTTATTTAAATTTTTTTCATGTTAAAAAATTTTTATTTTATTTTTTATATTTTTTGTTTTTTTTTTCATATTCATTTCAGTAAATTTAAAGAATAACTTATTCAATTTGTTTTTTATTGCATTTTGAGATTAGTTCATATTTTATTATTTAATTTATTTTATTCTTATTTTAATATAAAAATTTTTTTTTTAAAATTTTATTTGAATAATTTTTTTTTTAATATATTGCATTTTTTCCTTATTTTTTATTTAAATTTTGGTTTGAATTTTTTTTTGATTTTGAAGATAAATTTTTTAAATGGTAAATTTTACTTTTAAAATATTTTTAAATTTGTGAAAAATTTTTTAAAAAAATATATTTTTTTTTTCTTTGGTAATATTTATATAAATTTTTATATATTAAATTGTTACTTTTTTTTTCAAAACTGTTATTGTTCATTTATTTTGAAAAAATTATATTATTTAATTTTAATTTTACAAAATCATTTTTAAATATTTTTTCAAAATAATATATATATATATATATATATATATATATATATATATATATATATATATATATTTATAAGTTGTTTATTATTGTGTTTTTTCAAAATTCCAATCATAAAAATAATTTTTTTTTTTTATGTTTAATATCTAAAACCAAAAATTAAACGAATTTATTTTTTTTCCATATATATTTTTATTTTATATTTATAAAATGCATTTCTTGTAAATATCAATTGAATTTATTTTTCTGATTATTTTTATTTATTTTAAATCTTTAAAATATATTTTATATAAACATCGAAACTTCATTAATTTTAACTCAGCAATGGTGGGATTCTAAAAAATTTTCAAATTTTAGTAAAAAGAATAACAAAAAAAAGATTTTTTGGAAATCCATAAAATTTCAATCAAATCATTTTTTAATAGAAATTCATTATTTTCTTATTTCATTCAAAAATATTCATGTCCAAATTTATTATACTTGCACTATATGAATTTTATGTTTTTTTAATTTATTTTAATCATTTCTAAAATAAAAATTATTAAAAATATTATCTTATATATTAAAATTTCAGATGATAACTGTTTTTTTGTTTAAAATTTTCAAATGAAAATTTATTTATTCTATACAATTCTTTATTTCAAATTGATTAATGAAATATCTAAATTTCATTTCTTTCTCTCTCCTCTTTATCATTTATATATTTCTTTTTTTAAAAATAAAACAGAAAAAAAAGATTCAATTTTTGCAATTTAACTTTTTTTTTAATTTTTTTTTGGTAAAAAAAATTTTTTATAAAATTTTTTCAAAAAAATTTATAAATAAAATATATTATTATTTTATTTGGTTATTCTTTTTAAATCAATATAAAATTGAATTTTTTGAAAATGATTTTGAATTTGATCAGATTTTCATGGATAAATTATATATAAATATATATACATATATTTGATTTATCAAAAGCTTCAATAACTATAATATATTATATAATGTAAAATATATATATATATATATATATATATATATAATGATATAATATATATATCAGGTCATCCCATAAGTTCTGTCCGAATTTTAACTTTTTGTTAAAATGAACGAAATTTAAAGAGTATTTTATAATGTCTAATGGAGCTGAACATTATTTTTATGTTTAGATGCATTTAAACTGATCAAATTTTATTTCAGAGAACAATAAATTAAATTTTGTTTGATTAAAACCCTGCTAACATGGAAGTACCCAAGAATCATTTGAGGCACATAATGCTTTATGAGTTCAAGAAAGGAAACTCAGCAGCCTAAGCGGCTAGAAACATTCACTCAGTTTATGGAGAGGAATGTGTGAATGAAAGAACTTGCAGAAGATGGTTTGCAAAATTCAGAGGTGGAGATTTCACCCTTGAAGATGAAGATAGAACCGGACGTCCAGTTGAGTTTGATGAAAAGCTTCTTGAAGCAGCCCTTGAAGAAAATCGTGCTTTATCAGTTGAGGAATTGGCAGTGGTTCTCAGTTCAAACCATGCAACTGTTCATCGTCATCCTCAACAACTTGGAAAAGTTCCTAAACTTGGAAAATGGGTGCCTCATGAATTGTCTGAAAACAACCTCAAATCCTGAGTTGACATCTGCTCTTCTCTCCATTCTCGCCAACTTGTTTCACCTTTTTTTGGATAGACTTGTGACTGGCGACGAAAAATGGATCTTTTATCGAAATGTTAAGCGTCGTAGACAGTGGCTTGGTAAAGGGAAGGACCCCAGCCACAGCCGAGAAGGGAACTTCATGGGCAAAAGGTTCTTCTTTCAATCTGGTCGGGGGGGTCGCCAAGGAATAATCCACTTTGAATTCTTACCACCTAATGCAACAATTAATGCTCAAATATACTGTCAGCAATTAGACCGTTTGAACCAAGCTTTGAGGAAATAAAGACCTGCTCTGTTGAATCGAGAAGAGGTGATTTTTCATCAGGACAATGCGCGACCCCACACAGCAAGAATCACGTCACAAAAGATCGAAGAACTTGGTTGGGAGAAAATTCCTCATCCACCTTATTCTCCCGATCTTGCTCCTTCAGACTACCATTTGTTTTGTAGCTTACAGAATCATTTGGAAGAAACAGCTTTTTGTAACACAGGAAGAGGTTAAAATTGACATTTGTGAGTTCTTCGAATCAAAGCCAAAAGAATTTTACAGTAATGGAATTAGTAAGCTTGTTAATAGATGGAAGGAAGTCATAGATAATCAGGGAAAATATATTGTTGATTGAATCTGTAATTAAATGTAACATTTGGTCACTTGTTTTCTTTATTCAAAATTCTTTTTTTTTTTTTTTTTTTTTTGATTGTTTCTTCCCATTTCTAGTTTTTTTAATTTTTTGAATGTCTTTTTTTTTAATTTTTTTTTTTTTTGTCTTCTAATTTTCATCCTCTGCCAAAAACCTTTTTAAACCTCAGTTCAAATTTTTTTTTATCTGAATGGACTGTAAAATGATGGGTAGTTTTACGCGTCATTAAATTTTGAAGATTTACCGCCAAATCCATTCAGGAAATCTCGTTATAATGGTGCATCACGAGATTTTATCGTGAAGATAGAAAGGAAGGATATTCACAAGACCCATGAATTTGAAATGTTTCGGCGTTCTTTAAATAAGGCTTATGGACAAAAAAAAAGATGAACACGAAGAAGAAATAAGAGAAAAGAAGGAAGAGGAACCCCCCAAAAAATAATGTGGCAAAGCAGACGGTAAAAACAGAACGAGACGAGATTTTTTCAAAAATCATTATTTGAAATATCATTCGCCTTTGAAGCATTTTCATTCATCAGCATCAGTTTTCCTTCGTTTCTTCTTCTTTTCTTGAATCAATCATTTTTCTTCGTTAATTTGTTTTTATGTATAGGTTCATCTTTTTGTCTCAGTTTTGGTAATATTTCTCTCTCTTTTGGTCAGTATATAAGCCATGATATATATTCTATATATATATATATATATATATATTTCACACTTTTAAATTTATTGCTTTCTTTCTTTTCATTTTATATTTCATCTCAGCTCTTTTTTTTTCTATCTTCTGTCGTTCATATATCGTCACAGTTGACCTTTTCTTTCTTCCTATTTTTCTTTCTTTCTTTTTTCTTTTTGTTTTCTTTCTTTCTTTTCCCATTTATATGTTGTCCCAGTTGATTTTTTCTTTCTTTCTTTCTTTCTTTCTTTCTTTCTTTCTTTCTTTCTTTTTTTTTCTTTTCTTTCATTCTCATTCATTTTTTCTCAAAAGAACGGTTCTTTTCAAGATTCTTTCTTTTTTTCTTCCATTTCCAATTTAGATTTCGTCTCCGTTGATTCTTTCTTTCTTTCTTTCTTTTAGTCATTCATATTTTGTCTCAGTTTAACCTTCCTTTACTTCTTTCTTTTTTGTTTCTTTCTTTTCCCATTTATGTTTCGTCTCAATGATAAAAAAAATAAAAGATTTTTGTCTTTTTTTTCTACATTTATTTGTCTCAGATGAACCATTTTTATTTCTTTCTATCTTTTTCCCATTTCTCAGTTGCTTTCTTTCTTTCTTTTTTCCCATTTCTCAGTTGCTTTCTTTCTTTCTTTCTTTCTTTTTTCCCATTTCCCAGTCGCTTTCTTTCTTTCTTTCTTTTTTCCCATTTCCCAGTCACTTTCTTTCTTTCTTTCTTTCTTTCCCATTTCACAGTTGCTTTCTTTCTTTCTTTCTTTTTTCCCATTTCTCATTTGCTTTCTTTCTTTCTTTTTCCCATTTCCCAGTCGCTTTCTTTTCTTTTTTTTTTTCTTTTTCTTTTGATCTTCTTTAGTTTCTTTTCGGTTCTTTGCTTCTTATTTCTTTCAAATTTTTTTTCCCATTTTATAAATTTTTCTTTCTTTTTTCCCATTTCTCAAAATTCATTTCTTTATTTCTTTCTTTCTTTCTTTCTTTCTTTTTTTTTCCATTTTCAGTTGCTTTCTCTTTTTTCTTTCTTTTTTTTTTTGAATTTCTCATTCCTTCTTTTTACATTTTTCTTTTCTTTGTTTTTCCCCCATTTATTTTGCATTCTTTCTTTCTTTTCTTTCTTTCTTTCTTTCTTTCTTTCTAATTCTTATTTCTCCACAGTTGGCGCATTCATTCTTTCTTTTAAAATTTTGTTTTTTTCAATTTCTTTTTTTTCTTAAAATGATTCCTTTAATTTTAATTTTAAAACGTATTACTTTTTCTTTTGCTACCGTACCATACATTGCCTGTCAAAATTGAACCCTTATATTATAATATAAAACTTATAAACACACACACACACACACACACACACACACACACACACACCACACACATTTATATATATTTATTAAATATATATATATATATATATATTATATATATATATGTATATTACATGTTTGACTGAAAATTTCCGTACGGTTCTATCAATATCATTTAAAATAACATAACTCACTTTTCAAAGATTGAAGCGGATTTTTTATATACTTACAAAACAGAATATCAGATAGGCACCGAATAAATACTCGAAATTTATTTCAGAATATTTATTTCAATAAATTAAACATTGCAAGTCGGTAGACGAAATGAAAATACTGATTAAAATAAACGGATCGTCTACTCAAATATGGGTAACCACTAAAAATAATGTTTAAAGGAATTATGCCAAAATTAAAAAACAAAAAGACCGTTAATTCTGGAGATATTATATATATATATATATATATATATATATTATATATATATATATATAGACACAAATTTTCATTTAACATGTTTGGTTAATCTGGAAAATTATGCCTATTTATTTTTGAGATATATATATATATATATATATATATATATATATATATATATATATATATATATATATAAATTTAAAGAGGTTGTAGTGGTGTCCAACGAGAGAAAACTATGTATATTAATAAGAAGAGAAAGAGGTTTATTGTTGGTTTTTGGTTGTAAATGTTTTTTTTAATAAAAAAAATATTATGCTTTTATTTTCCATAATTTTACTACAGGTGTTTCTGGTCTCGTGACCGTATTCAGGTAAAATAGATTTCCACATATTAAAAAAAAAATTAATTTTTTTCCTTATGTTTTCAATGTTAAATATTCTCGATATGAGACATTCTCTGTTTTGTGTTAATAATCCGAATTTCTTTTTAAATAATTAATTATATTATATATATATATATATATATATATATATATATATATATATATATATGTTATGTATATATATATATATATATATATATATTATATAGTTATATGTTTATTTATATATAAATTAAGTAAATGCTCTGTTTATAATAAACAAAATTTAACAAATTTACCGGCCTTTTACGTCCAAAAATTTTTAGGGCTTATGTTTTATATACAGAATTTAACCTGTATAAAACATGGAGCCGTCATATAGCCTGACGTATATACCAGTTTATATAAAGGAACGTCTGGTTAGAAATTATCTATTTTTGAAATGTTTTTAAAAAACCCAAATTTCCCATGATTTCCTCGAACGTCCATATTTATCTTAACAAAGTGTTTATAAAAAGTAAAAAAAAATGACGTCAATTTATTTAAAATGGACAAAAATTAATTATCTTAATATATATTATTATCTTAATATATATTATTCTTTTACGTTATTTATATAGACACAAATATTTTGGTAAATGCTCTGTTTATAATAAACATTTTAATAACATTTAAATAAACATCAAGATATGTTATATCTATATAAATAACGTATAAGAATAAAATATACTAAAAGAATTGCCCATTTATATATAATATATATATATATATATATATATATATATATATATATATAAAGTGCATATTTCCCGAATATATAGGCCGGTAGATGAAAATAAATAAATATAATGTTTAATAAATAAACGGAATCTCTGGTCAAATATGAGGTTGCAATAGAAATAACCTTTAAGTAATAAAATATAAATAAATACACACATACACACACATACATAATGATACACAACACACATCATAATATATATATATATATATATATATATATATATATATATATATATATAATATATATTATGATAAAATCCAAATAAATCAGGAATATTAATGGCCTGGTCTAGGAAGTGTTTTCCCACCGGGGATTGCCTCCCTGCACTTTTATATAAATAAGCGAATGGTAATTTTTCGATAACGAAAGCTATGCTACCTTCCAGAAGCTAAATTTAAATGTAGAAACAGGAAAAAGGTGTCGAGAATATCATTTATTTACAGCTGAGCTGGCTAAATGTAACCGTAAGACATGCTAAAAGTATCTGGTCTCCATTTGAACAAAACCTTTTTCTAGCTTTATTAAAAACTTAAAAATTATATATCCCCCCTTCAATGAAAAAGGACTCTTAAACTCGTATCATTTTCACCAGACGCAACGCCGAAAATTTCAGACGTCATCTATAACAAATCATCAGCCAACTGATTCTTATGTTCACCAAATGCAGACCTTTACAATCGAATACGCCATGCTAAGTCCAGACAGTTGAAACAAAATACCGCCATTCAAAAAACAAATGTAAGGTAAACGGTCAACTCAAAAAAGTCATTTCCCAGGAATGGCTTCTGTGAATATGCCTCCCTTAATGCGGAGAAAAAAATGAACGAGGGATAGTTTAAACCTTTGTATTCAGTCAGATGTTGTTTTATCGTTGACCCCCCCCCACCATCAACAAATTTTTTCCCAAATGCTTTCATTTATCTTGTTTGGATAAGCTCTGGTTCTAGAATATTTTAAACCTAGAGAGGAGTAAAAAAACCTGGCCCTCGAGATCTCATCGTTTATGATGATAAATAGATAAAATTACCAATAAAAATTCTGTCAATTTTTCATTTCTCTATAGACGAAACATATGCAAAATTCCGTTTTTAAGAAAATATTCATTTTAAGATCCCATAAAACGTGTGACAAATTTATTGAGAACTGAGCATTAAATATCTCTGAAGCCCAAAATATGACGATTAAACAAAAACAACCCAACAAACAATAGACTATTTAAATGGGTTTAAACAATAAATATTTAAATCAAAATCAAGATACCATTTATTTACAGCTGAGGCCTCGATGTAACCGTCAAATCTATGCCAACAATTTCTTTTCTCATAAAATTGTGTTTTCGATATTCCATTTCAACATTAAATAATTCAGCCAGATTTAATCTCGCAAACGTTTAAATGCTATGTCAAACTAATCTTTCTTTCATATCACACACCTCTCATTCAGCAGTTAAGATTAATGTTTCTATTTCCTAAGTTGCTCTCGAGACCTGGATAACCCTTTGTGTCTTAGTGGCTTTAAAATGCCATTTATTTGCGGTGATAAGACAGATTAAAAAATTTAAATGTTCGGTATTGACTAAATCTCTTAATGTTGATTTTTGAGGATGGATTCGCGGTTGATGCTCGAAGAGACAAATTTTAATTCCAATCATAGTCACTATTTTTCTTCTGATGGTTTTCTTTTGGCGGATGGCTTCTCGATTTAAAAAACGAGGCTGCAAAACGGATGGTTCTTGCAGCGTGTCTCACCGGCTTAAGTGCCACGTAAGCCTCCATCATTACGGCTGGCAGGAGCAATCTGTATAGAATGTTAAATGGTTGTTTTATTGTCGTAGATCATTTACGAAGGAAAAGTGAGTTCGATCCTACCAGGTGCTCCATACTTTAGGATACATGGCACAGTGGATAAAGGCCTTTAGATTAGATCCATTGTGACAGGACCAAAAAAAGTTTTGTTCATATACCCGGCTTATTTCATGCTGAAAACTTTCATCGGGAAATTAACAATCCATATAGCTGATAACGGTTAAATATAAGATACACGGGCTTTTTAACCGTGAACTTTTTTTACAGTGATGTTTACCCAGTGAGCGAAATAAAGGGTTCAGTTTATGACATTCCAACCACCTGAGATATCACAAAGGAGACTTAAACAACGATTGTAGTGAAACGTTGTAATAAATATGGCGACAAAGATGAAGACAATAGTCCGAATAATGTAAATAACTTAATCCTCATCTCAATGGAATACAGATAAGAAATGAGAAATTTTGTAATAAATATGGTGACAAAAATGGGACAATAGTCCGAATAATGTAAATAGTGTACTGGTAATACTCATCTCAAAAATATAGACAACGCTTTCTGAAGGAAAACGTTGTAATAAATATGGCGACAAAGATGACAAACAATAAGTCCGAATAATGTAAATAGTGTACAGAATGCCTCATTTCAGAAATATAAACAGATAAAACTGTTCAGGCCGAAACGTTGTAATAAATATGGCGATTTTCCAAGGACAATAGTCCGAATAATGGCAAATAGTGTATTAAAAGTCATCTCAGGCAATATAAACAAATACTGAAAGGCCACTACATTGTAATAAATTCTGGCGACAAAGATGAGGACAATAGTCCGAATAATGTAAATAGTGTACATCCCAATACCTCATCTCAGAAATATAGACAGATACTGAAGGGCCCAAACATTGAATAAATATGGCGACAAAGATGAGGACAATAGTCCGAATAATGTAAAATAACCATTATACCACCTCATCTCAGTTATTTTCCTATATAGACAGATTTGGAAAGGCCGAAACGTTGTAATAAATATGGCGACAAACTCATACTCATTCGTAGTCCGAATAATGACAAATAGTGTACATTAATACCTCATCTCAGAAATATATACAGATACTGAAAGGCCGAAACGTTGTAATAAATATGGAAAAGATGAGGACAATAGTCCAAAAATTTTTAATATGGCAAAGCAATAATCCTATGTATCTCAGAAATTGTAGACAGATACTTAAAGGCCAAGAAACGTTGTAAGACAATATGGCGACAAAGATGAGGACAATAGTCCGTTCATAATGATAAATGTAATTTTTATGTCCGTCGGTTTAACGGTACATGAATATTTTAAATGGATCCTTATTGCCCACTGAAATTTTAGATTTTATTTGGAGAAGAGAAATAAAACAGATTTTGGTAATTCTAGTTTCGATGTGAATACCCTATATATAATTGTCAGCTTTTTGTGCATATCCATGTTTGCGTGGACATGATTACTATCTTCCAAATGATCCATGTGCAATTTTCTCAGACCCTAGACGCATCAAAGTTACATTTTT